TTCCATTCCCGTCAGGATATGTAGGCACAAGATGCGACGTCTTGCCGAGTAAACTTATGACTAACCCCTAAGTCTTTTTTAATTTTCAATCCTTTGTATATACCCTAAAGCAAAATAATTAATGAAATAAATAAATAAAAAATAAACAAAAGGTTCCCGTAGAGTACTACGGAAGTTTAGGGTGTTAATACCTTCCCTAAATTTAACCAACCCCCGAACCTTAGATCTCTCCCTTTTAGGTTTTTCCTTTCTTTAACCTTTCCTTCGGATAAATCAAAGACCGGTTGTAAATGAATTAAGATTCAAGTTAATCAATAGCTTGACATCCAAATTTCACCGCAACAGCCGACTCTGAGCAGTGGTATTATTTTTCTAAAATCGTAGATATTCGCTGGGCGAATGAGGGGGCGAGCCTTTGCCAGGCTTCGTCAGGCGAACTGGGCAGTGAGTGATGCCAGTAGCCTCTGTCTGGCTTCGCCAGGGGTTTCGTCAGGCGAGCTTAAGCAAGCATTCGCTGTGGGGCTTCGCCAGGCGAATGTGCCAGCGAGCGTGACATAATGTTGTGTTTTTGAGCTGTGTTGTTCGGTTCTCTCGTGATTGTTGGACCCTTGCTGGTCATGATTGATTACGTGATTGTTGGTGAGCTGTGAAGAGTATATGTGTGGTGTGGAATATGATTTCCTTGATATTGTTTAATTTGAATGATTGAATTCGATGTATGTGATTGTGTATGAATGAGGTGAAGTGTGATATATATATATATATATATATATATATGATGTGTAATGAAATGTGATCAGTGGAATTGTGTACACTTAGTGTATCTGTTGTTGTGTGTTGTGCATTAGGGTTATGCATAGCATGGTGTGATGATGTGCTCCTGTGTGGAGGGTGATGGTCTGGTGCCCATCGATAGTGATAATGTGCTCCTGTGTGGAGGGTGATGGTCTGGTGCCCATCGGTGATTGTGAGGGGTATATCCTGACTCAGGGGAGCGTAAATGATCTATCTTGTTTTTGATGTGCTCCTGTGTGGAGGGTGATGGTCTGGTGCCCATCGGTGTTGATAATGTGTTCCTTCGGGAAGGGTGATGGCCTGGTGCCCATCGTTGCTATTGTTGAGTCGGTACCGCATATCATGGGTTGAGTTGCATGTGTTGTATTGTTTTATATGCTATGTTGGGTGGGACAGTAGGTCCGGGTTAATGTATGTGAATGATAATTGTGTGATTTACTGCCTTTTATTTATGTACATCATTACCGTTATATTTTGATCTTGATTTCTCACCCCTTTGCTTTTGTTGTGGTCTGTGCTTCTTCGGAAGTACAAATAATCCAGGTGTTTAGCTAGCTTGGTTTGTGGCGAGTCGTAGGGATGCTCTGATACGTAACACCGGGACTTTGGGGAGTTTTATGTTCACCTGATGACTTTGTGTGCCCCTGTGGCGTATCATGTTTTGATAAGTTCTTTTAGTGAATATATGTCTAGTGTATTTTGGGCAGTTGGCCGAGGTTGATGTATATGACATGTATATGATGATATGTATATATATGATAAAGAATTTCCGCTGTGTTATTTTGTTGAAAATCATTTAATGAAAATGTTTCTGTGTTGAGTTTATTTTTGTGACATCCCGTTTTGTGGTGTGAAACTCTGATAATTGTTTATTTTAATTGCATTTATTTATTTCGGAGAACGGGGTGTTACATATAACACAACAGGACATAACTTAACCATATAGAACATACATAACCATTATTTTTCATATTATAACAAAACAAATCTTCATCCATTAATTTTCAAATCATAACATAATTATTCAGAATCAACATGATTGTTGAAAAAAAAAACAAAACAAAACATAGAGAAAAAAGAGGAATACAATCATAACACAAGAACATAACATAGAAATTTCAAAGCCGAAGAAAAAACAACGGTCGTTGTCAATAGACAACTAAAGAATAACACTATATGAAAGTTATTACAACACATAATATACCCTCAACTAATCAAGTCCCCTAGTACACTCACACCCTTAAAAAAATATTTAACTATATCTCACAACATTCTAATATAAGAGTATAAGAGAACAAAGAAAATCAAATACAAACTTAAAGTGCTTTTGACTGATGCATCTTAGAATGAAGAGCTTGAGTCGCATATATAGTCTTGGAGTCCCTCTTCCTTCACAAAACTAAGCAATGTGAGACTTCAAATAACTTGTATCTTATATATAGCATTGAACTCTCTCTTCATTCACAAAACTAAGTGATGTGAGACTTCTTCAACATATATATTTTCAACCAACCCCAATAATCTTCACCTTAATTTAAAATAATATATAAGTTTTCATTGTCTTCATTGACAATCATACTCCACCATAAAAAATATCAACATGTATATTTGCAATCAATCTCAACGATCTCCGCCTTGATTGAAAATAATACATCAACTTTCATTGTCTTCACCGATAATTATACTTCACCATAAAAAACAGAGTCACTTGAAGTTACACCAATCCAAGAATTTTAACATTTTCTTCACCGACAGTCATAGTTTTAAAAAGTATCATACTCTCTCATGAAGAATATTTTTCACTTGAAGATAGATCAATTCAAGAATTTCACATTGTCATCACCGACATCATATATTCTATCATGACTTATTTCACTTAAAGGTAAACCACTACAAGAATTTTCACATGTCGAAAACTAAGTTGAAACTTTATGGTGCAACTTCTATGTTGGTCGGCAGCTCTTCAAACATCGACATAATCTTGCACCTTGTGCACTCTTGATTGTATCAACATATCTTTAACTTGAACTTTTCACAAGTAAAAAAAAAGTCCATCAATTTTCTCTAGCTCAAACTGCAGAGCGGATGAGCATACTTAGAATGGAAACTCGAAAGCCAAAGAAAAAACCACGGACATTGTCAATAGACACCCAGAGAATAATATTATGTGAAAATTATTACACCTAATATATCATTAACTAACCCGGTCCCCCAGTACACTCTCACCCTTCAAAATAAATATTTAACTATACCTCAGAACACTATAATACAAGAGTATAAGAGAACAAATAAAGTTAAATACAAGCTTAAAGTGTTTTTGATTAATTCACCTTGGAATGAAGAACTTGAATCCTATATATAGCCTTAAAGTCTCTCTTTCTTCATAAAACTAAGCAATGTGAAACTTCAAATTTTTTATATCCTATATATAGCCTTGGACTCTTTATTCATTCACAAAACTAAACGATGTATGACTTCTTCAACATGTATATTTTTAACCAACCCCAACAATCTCCACCTTGATTGAAAATAATACATAAATTTTTGTTGCCTTCATCGATAATCATATTTCACCATAAAGAGTATCAATATGTCTATCTTCAACCACCAACATAATTTCACAAAAAACAATAGTTTTTATTCAAAATAGTATGATCATCATTCAAAATACATAATAGTTGAGCCATTACAGAGTGTAAATATTCAATGGTTCATAATTGAACCGTTACATAATAGTTTTCATCCAAAATACATAATAAACTTAAACTCGAAATTTAGTAACTAGTCTCATGTTGATTGTGGGGCTTAGACACTCATTCTATAATCGTTTTCCTAACACCCTTTCCTGACTTCTTTCCTTTCCTTTTAGCCTTTTTATTGTCACTCTAAGAAATTGTTCTTTCAGCGGCCCTCATCCCTTTGCATGTTTGCTTGTTATGCCTCATATTCTCCCATATTTAACATTTCATTATTTGAATATTTTAGGATGAATTTTTGTGTTCATGGCTCATTATTTGTTTTGTTACAGTTCTTCTTTAAATAACCAATAGCTATAAGTGGGCTATAGTTATGGCCATTAGTTGGATATAGCTATAAGTAGCCATCGTAGTAGACCTCCTAGACACATGAAAAAAGTTGTATTAGTAAGTTAACATATAATTTGCGACCAAACAAATCTTTAGATTTCATATTAGGATTGTGTCTTAATATATACATAAATTTATGAGCTAACCAAATAGTTTTTGCTTGTGTATTCTTAGCTTCCCTATGACATTTGTGTTCTTCAATGAAGCTAACAAGTTGCCAAAACTAATTGGCGGTCCTCATACTAAATCTTATATAAAAGGGACAACCTATGGTAAATTACACTTGCTGAATTTTTCTTGATATTTAAACAAATCCTTTTTTTGATTTAGAATAAGATTTAGTGGTTGTTTTGAACGATGAATAACAAAAAAAAATGCAGAAAGTAAAGAACACAAGTCTTGTACTATTATTATTATTATTTATTTTTTTTAATTTTAAAAGTTCTCATTATAAAAAATTGTTTTAGAACTTAATTAGTCACAATCAATATTTAGCTAAGTCACTCATCTCTTTTCCCAAAAGCAATGTCTTTTTAGTGCCTTATTACTTTGCTCCAAATCACAAACATCTCCCTTTGTGGAAATATGTCATTCTCATACCCCCTGGGGCCATGAGATGGTTGTGTACACTCAGTGTCCATTTCTTTGTGGCTCATAACCATTCAACTTTTCATTCCCCTCATAACTACCTAACATGAAATGTCTCATAAAAAACAAACTCAACTCATTGCTACATTCTTTTGAAACGCTTATGCCTTGAGATGCAGTCAAACAGATTTAAAACAAAAAGGCGATAAATATGTAAAAATGCTGTTCTGATATCATAGAATTGATAGAGCTGAACACTTTTACCTACCAACAAACAAGTCCTATATCTCTCTCTACCTGTAGCAACTAAGACTAGCAAGGTTACCATCACTCAACACTGATGTAATTGTAAGGATCAAAAGAATTTTAGTTCTTACGGTTGGCACCAGTTTAGGAAAGCGCATCATGCTAATTTGAGACAAAACTTCAAACCACATATAACAAATCTACTACCAACCCATCCATCTTTGACGTGTGTTAGAAACTCTTTATCTAAGTCAGTACTATTTCTCAATTCAACTGTCAAGAAGCTTAATCTGTACGGAGTTCGTCATACTGAGGCCGGAGAGTCCCAAATATCAGATAAGGGATTACTACCATGCATGCCATGAATAGCGTAAACTGCGGAACATAAGAGCGTAACGTTAGTTATCGCAATTTTAACTTATGGCATTAAATAAAACCAATAAAACAAAATTGTTGATATACCAGAAGAGGAATTGTCAAGAAACTCCAAATTGGCCACAAAGCAAAGGAGAATCTGGAGATGCGAAAGATAGGATTCAGCAAAAAGGGAAACGTTTATACGATAAATGCAATTGAAGTAAGATATATGGCGTAGTTGCGTCTTACAAGCAAAAGGAGATTATTCCAAATACAGTGGCGAATGGCAACACTGTGATACTTGTTATTTCCCATTTCTTTAATCCCCATTTTTCATCAAACCTCCGAACGCTCCATGCCAAGATAGTTGTGTAAACGAAAATCAATACGTTCAAACCAACACCTATCATCCCAAGATATAAAGGCAGTCTGCAATAGAACTAAGGAGAAGATCATGAAAATTGTGATAATAATATAAAGTCAAGTATTAAATCTTTAAAAATCACGACAATAAATTTGAAGATGCACTCATTTATGTCAAATATAGATATTGTCAAACAGGTACGAAACCACTCATCTTACACTTCATCAAACCGGGTACATATATAATAGGAAAGATAGAAGGTACATATATAATACCGATGCACTTCAAAATATCTGTAGGATACTGTTTAGTTTAGCATATATGTACAAGCTGATAACTCAGCTGGTTAAACCGAAAATTGGTGATCATGTTTTGAGTTATGTACTGATTTCATGTTATTGATTGATGATCTAGTCTTTGCATACGTGCCTGCCTCATAGTCTGGTTTTATGACCGGTAAATTTCAATTCCAACCAATTAGGGCATCAATCAATAAGTTGTTTAAAATCCAAATTTAGCGGAACAATAACAAGGTAAACAAACAAATAAATGAGTAGCTGAGACATCATATTTGAAAAGCAATAAAACATTGGGGTTTCTCCAAGTACATGGTGGACATAAATCTCCCTCTATTCTTCATTAAAGGCTAACCCGATATTTTTTGTTGTGATATAATTTAAAAGCATGTCCTAGTTATATATGTTTCAGTTTCCACCTCCATGAAAATTAAACATGAAAGCAAACACTGTCAACCATTATCCTTAGTACGCTATTTATGACTTGCAATGTGGCTAGCTTTACCGTTCACAAGATCTTCAACTAATAAGTAACGCGAGAGCCGTGGTACTATAACAGTTAAGCAGCTCTCTCATTCCACCTCCCTCTCTTTCTCTCTCATATATATAACCAGCACACACCTACATATAGTCAACCCCGTGTAATAAACATATGCAACATGTTCCTAAACAGCCAAACTTCCACATCGCTATTCTTTTGTGACACACTATTTAGCACAAAATGTTGCCAAATGGCCGCAAAAGCAGCGGTATAGCACAATTGAATAGCGGCATTTTAGCAATCCATGCAATTAACAACCTCGGTCTAAACTAACCCTGAATGCTAACCTATCAAGGTTTGGAAACAAATTCACACCACCCTCTTTGGTACATAAAAAAAGTCATAAATCGTAATCACACCAGCATCAAGGAAATAATGAGCAACGAAACAACTTAATTTACAAAAATAAAAAAAACAGCGGTTTATAAATATAACTCAAACTGTTACACAATAAAGTTAACTTGGAATATTATTACCTTCTAATGCGATCGTCATGGCACATGAGATATATGAAATTGGAATGCTGATCCCCGTAGTATATAATAAAAACAGCTGAAGCAAGCCAAAGAAAATTCTCTAGCATCTCGATCCATGTCCTCGGCGGAGGAGGACTTGGAGGCAGAAAAGAACGCTGCCTCGAACATGCATCATCTTCCAAGTCATCACCACTACTAGCATAACCCTGGCTATGTCTTTGTCTCATCAAACCACCTGCCCCCGTAGGTGTTCCCCCAGACATTGCAATGCAACAGATTACACAAACAACATTCACCACAAACAACCCCCCAAAGTTTCAACAACTAGTAACAACAACAACAACAACAAAAATTACCAAAACCTATGAATATCCTCACCCTTTAATTCTTCTGAACTCCTTAAACGACCAAACAATTATGTGACAAAAATCAATAATTTTTCTGTAAATAACTAATGATCTCCAAAACCCATAAACAAAATCTAATCCCTCCAAGACTTTCACTATGATCTAGAGTAAACTTCCCAATAATTCAGGACCAGCTAATCAATCAATCTCTCATGGATAAGATTCAATTCAGGCTTAGAAATAATCGTCCGACAGAAAAACAACCTACGAATGATCCTACCCACGAAAGACAACGAAACCTCCAAAATCCTAGACAGAAACAAAAACTCTTCAAATAACAATTTCAAACAAAAAAAAAACCCAATTGGGATTTGAATAATCTACCAATACTGAGGAACCAATAGGAGAAATTGGAGGGAACCCAGTTGGAAAAAGAGGCGAAGAACGCTGAATCTCGAAAAAAGAAACGATCTTGCTAAGAGTTTGTAGAAAGAGTGAAACTTGGATTTGAAAGTAGCAATATGGAATGAAAGAGAAAACGGAGAAGAGGGTTAGGCATGTGCGCATGCGTGATTTCTCCTCCAAAACAAAGAGAAGAAACTAAGGTATATGAGAGTGCTCTTCAAATCCAAGTTTCATCTTTAATTAATAAAAATAAAAATAATATTTCATATAATGAATGGAGATTCTTTTCCTATTTTGGTACCCTTCGAATCTTCCTCATAGTTTTTTTTTTTTTTTTTTTGACTTGAATGGTTTATTTTCATTTTCATTTTCACTTTCTCATTACTTTTGATTTTGACAAGATTTGATTTTGTTTCTCACTCAAAAAAGAAAAGGAAAAAATGATTTTTTTTTCTTCAATTTGGTTTTGTTTCCTAAAGAAAAATATTTTGAGTTTGCTAACAGGTAAAAAGATGAAATAATTTAGGTTTGGATTTTTAACTAAATATTAGACTTAATATCATTAGTATTTATGAATTGAATTAAAATTTAAAAAACTTATTATTGTTTATTACTAAATTATTTTGTTATGAAAGTGCAAGATTTCAAATAGTTTAGTTTATCAATGAAGATTTGATCTTATAGTTTTTTTTTTAGTACTATTTGTTAATTTAGTGAATGAAAATTTGATCATATAAATTATAAATATTTTTTATTAATATTGTCACTCGGATGTTAAATGGACATGTCAACATGTCTTGTAAAAGTTCAGAAAAAATAGCATGAGACGAGGTGGATATAGTTAAAGGTGTGAGTCTAAAATTTTGATATGTCCCATAAAAAATCGAAAGTGGATTCGTAGGTATTGTATCTTTTAAATTTAAAACTTACGAAATTTCATGTCAATACTCGTTCCTGCAAAAAAAAGGGATAAGGCCGGACAAACATATTAAAGGATACGAAGTTAAAACTTTTGTTCGTTTTGTATAAAAATACAAACAAAACGGTAATGTTCGACGGGCTGGATTCGTTTTGCCACCCCTAATTGTTACTAAAGCATTGAAGTATGAATTAACTTCATGATATGCTTAACGCGCCTTGAATTTCCACTTTAATTTTATTACTCACAGAATTGGAAGTATTAACTACTACCTTAATACATTACAAGCTCCTCTATTTTAGAAGAAGCAGGATTAAATTTTTCCTTCTTGAACCCATGTTTCTACGTTATAAAAAAAATCCCCGTGCATCACTACTTTAGAAGCAATATTAAATTTTTCCTTCTCGAAACCATGTTCCTACGTTATAAAAAGAATCCCCGCAACTCAGCCACATAATTGTTACATTGTCCTATGTATTTTGAGAAACCCTAAATTCACACTCATCTTTAATCCTCTCTCAACAACCCTCCACATCCTGCCTCCACATCACACTTGTACCCCTCCCTGATACGCATCATCTGAGTTGACTATAAATATATTGTTCCCCAACTTACTCCAATTAATCATCACCTATTATTTCTAAGTTAGTGACAATCATCGCTTACTCATAGTTCATTACCTAATTCAATATATTATTTGAAGGTGTCGTTGTTCAAACGAACTAATTTAAAGTAAAAAAAAAAAATTACTGGTTAAAGTAAAAAAAAAAACAAAAAAAAAATTATATCTATATTAATATCTAGAATCTTATATCGATATAGTCAAAAGCAACTCAACTTAAATATATCATTCAAAAAGGTTCACACCTCATAGAACATATCTGATGTGATGTCCTAAGTTATAGAATTTGATGTGCTCACATTAGCAAAATATATGACACAACACAATAATTTACCCTAAGATCATTCCGACAAACTGATACACATATTGTTAGTCGATATGATCTATCGAATTTATACATGATTAAATAGATGATGTAATTTAGCCTAATAAAAATGTATTTCAAAGACTTAAATTTTCTTTTCTATGTTCTATGATATAGATACTATTCAAAAACTAATTAAAGTAAATGTAAAACATTTGTTTTGAAATAGGAAATCAGGGTGTACATGAGTCAATTTAGGCTAGATTTAGACTAACTTGCGACCAAAACTAATACTTGAAGATCAAGTTAGGTTTGCTAAGACCTTACTTGAGCTTTGGGTTGGGTTGAGTAAAAACATCTGCTTGTTTAAAAAAAATCGTTTAATATGGTCAAATATTATTGTATTTTAAGAAAGGAAAATATTTCAACTGTCAATTCTTCAAAGTACAAAATACATATTACCAATAAATTCTCATAATATACAAAGTATATCAATTTAAAAGACCTTGGAACCACATATCTACTCAACACAAATGGTCATGATTTTCAGAGATTGATTACCTCTTATAGTGCATAATCGTTAATCACGGGAACCGCACAAATTTGACGTCTCTACCCAATTTATGCAAACAAAATATGCAATCAGAAAGACTTTCACTTATAGTGCTCGTTGTGAACGAACAAAAATCTTGGAGAACACAAACTCTAAATCCTAGGGTGACTAGTGTTTTAAGAATACATGACATTATAAGATTTATATTTATAGAACCACTTATATGCATTATAACTCACGATATATCGTAATTCTCTAATTAGCACTAGTACTTTGTAAGAATGTACCACAATTAATAAATGAATTTTATTTATTTATTTAATCTCTCGTTTAATTGTGTGACTCTGTATATTTCCGTAACTTTAACAATATTATCAAATTATCTATTTAATATTATAAATAGATAAAGGTTTATAGCAACACTATTATCTAAATGACAAGAATGTCATGTAATATGACATGATATTTTTGTAATAGCGATTATGTGTATAACTACCCTTTTGTTCAGTTTATGTCACTCTTTTATAGTCTAATATATATTTTTTGATATCCAAGTACATTTAGTAACAAAAATAGGCTCAATATATCATGTTTACTCATTTAAGCATGACATGCATTAGTTATACTCAATTTAAATTTAAAGGTTCGTGTATATATATATATATATATATGTATGTATATATATATATATATATATATATATATATATATATATATATATATATATATATATATATATATATATATATATATATATATATATATATATATATATATATATATATATATATATATATATATATATATATATATATATATATATATATATATATATATATATATATATATGAGAAAAATTCCATCTAAATCACTTGTGTCCCTCCATATAAATTGTTGAGTTTCCAGTTAATCGACTTTATAATCCTCTTGTTACAAAGAACTAAAGCAATCAACTTTTAATATAGGAATCATAGTGATATCAGGTCAAAGGTTGACATACATCACTATCATTATTTAAATAACTTATGACACTTACATAATAAATCATGTAATACTTTCATTGCGAGTCAATTTTATATAAATATCATTAATGGTGTCTAGGTGCATTATCACTATCAAATTTTATATATATGATTATCACTTTGCATACACAATATAGTCTAGGTGCATTATTTTTGTCCCATTTGACAATAAAATTTGAATACATATATTTTTAGAGTGACATCAATATATTTAATGGTGTCTAAATTTAGGGTTGGAAATGAGTCGAGTCGAGTCGAACTCACCTCAGCTCGGCTCGACTCGTTAAGAATTGTTCGAATTCGAGTTCGAGTTCGAGTTCGACACGAACTTTTTTTAAGCTCAAACTCGACTCGTTATAAGTTCACAAACAGTTCGGTTCGACTCGTTAGGTTCATCTCATTAGGTTCAGCTCACATGGTTCACGAACTTAAAAACTATTTTTTTAAAATATATATATATTTTTTAGTATATTTGACATTTTAAATAAATATATATTTTTTAAATAAAATATTAAAAAAAATAAAAGTTATCATATTGAAATTTAACTTTATCTTCGAAATCTACTAATTCAAAATCTACACAACTTTCAAGAGATACATTTGAGAGTCTAATTCAAAAACTACTAAATTGAAGATTAAATTTGTCTAAGATTTGAAGTAAATATTTAAACCTAATCTTAAAGACAGTATAATTCTTTTCATATGTAATCGAGTTGACTCATGAACCTAACGAGTCGAACCATGTATAGTTCAAGTTCAGCTCATTTAGTTAACGAACTTAATTTTTCGCTCATACTCAACTCATTTGGTTCATGAACCTAGTTCAACGATTTAATTGTCGAGTCAAATTCCGAACTATCTTCGAGTTGGTTTGGTTCATTGTCAGCCCTAGGTCTAATACTTAAATCACACTTAAAATTACATTAAAAGAATTAACTATTCTAAAAACTTTATTACTTTGAAAACAAACTTAATAAAAAAACCTTTTATTATAAATAATCAACATGATACGTGTTCTGAGTTCAACGATAAAACCAATGACCTCTAAGACTTACACCAACAACATAGTATTGTCGAGTTTGGAGAGAGCACAGAGATAAAAATGAGTTAAACATCCATGACTCATAAGAAACTTTGACATCATATCTTCATCAAAATCTTGAAACAATAGATATATGGACCACCGCTCTTTTATATCCAACATTAAAACTTATCAATTTATAGTATATATGAGATTAACCATTTATACTTAAACTCCAAAGACTTTCTCCTCATAAGAGACATGTTACGATAACAAAGTCACGTGTATCCACTTAATATCATAGAGACTACTTAAGTGAAAATAATTGTATGGAGTGAATGTGATTTTGTCACTCTATAGTAAGGGTTCAATGCTCATGTATGATAACTAAATCAATAAACATGCATTATCTTCATACACTTTTGGCTCACATTAACATTAGATGTTATTACATATACATTCCTTTACTCCGAACATATTAGGAGAATTCCTTTACTCTAAACATAATAGGAGAATGTGAGGTGATCAAAGCATTCCACTACCAACTAATCATGACTATTGACGTGAAATTTACATGACCTCTCTTAGTGATCCATCACATAAGTTCATACTTGAACATCCACGCACATTATGGGGCTTGGTGAAATATTATAATGCCTCAAATTTCAAGCATTAAAACGATATCCATAAGCCATCTGAAACCCTCGCAAGGCAAGGCCAACCATCTAAATCATAACTCCCAAAATGGTGGATCTAGATGCAATAATACACCCAAAATGGTGGATCTAGATGCAATAATACACCATCTCGTAAATGTGTTGATGGAGACAAAAGCTTCAATCTTCAATGTTCTCAGTCATTGAAAAGAAATAAGGAGGAGGGGTTCAAAAGAATGACACATCACGACCTAGGTAAAAATATAGATGTAATTAAATCCAAGATCAAGCGACTCAAAAAGAGAGTGGAACTAACTGAGAATTACTAAAACATTTAGAACACATCATCTCTAGAGGACGATGACTATGAGAACGTCGTTATCTTATAGTCAAGAAGCGAAGCATCCTCCCTAAGAATAAAAGAGGAAAATGAAGGCGTAACTCAACTCCTTTGATACACGGGATCAACAAAGAACTGAAACTAATAAGATTTTTACTTCCCTTGTGATAAAAAGATAAACATGTAAGAGCACCTAACCTCCTCCAATGCCAATCAAAATTCAAGGAACATCTAACACCATGAAGGATCATCATTTTTCATGTACTCAAAGGATAGATGCACTATTATGAATCTCACACCTATCAAATAAGTCCATAAGTCGCGGAAACAACTAGATAATTGTCTACAAGTTCACCACAAGTTGCATAAAATGAGTGATCTCAACATATGCCTTGTTGGAGTCAGGAAAAAGCAAGAAGAATCCCTCAATTTATTTTTAATCATTGTAATGACGATGTCATAAATCAAGAACCTAAATCATATTGTGGCTTTACATATCATTTTTCATGTACTCTATGGATGGATGCACTATTATGGATCTAACATCTATCAAATAAGTCCATCAAGTCGTGGAAACAACTAGGTGATTGTCTCCAAGTTCACCACAAGTAACATAAAATGATAGATCTCAACATATGCCTTGTCGGATTTAGAAAGCAAGAATCCCTATGTTTATTTTTGAATCATTGTAATAACAAGAAGTCACAAATCAAGAACCTAAACCATATTGTGGCTTTACATGCATTAGGAACAAATCTTAATTCATGTATGATTTCTACCGCGTTAACACATATACCATTTGAAAATAAGTATACAATCAACCAATAATTCCCAAATCCCCTTTTCCAGCAACTTGAAACCCATAGAAAATATTCTAAAACTCATAATCCAACACACAACAAATCCCAATCTAAGAAGCAAATATAGAAATGAACTAGCCATTATCACCCTTACAACTTGAAACCCATAGAAAATATTCTAAAACTCATAATCCAACACACAACAAATCCTAACCTAAGAAGCAAATATAGAGATGAACTAGCCATTATCACCCCTACAGACACCCGCACAATCAACGACGAGTTTATAAGGGTGACAAATGGATATGTCTACCCAATTTATACCCATTTCTAAAAAAACGGGACAACGCAGATATAGTTAAGGGTACAAACCTAAAACATGAAGGTGAGAAAATACTTAGAAGGGGGGTTGAATAAGTATATAGAAAATATTATGGCAATAAAAACTCAAGGATTTTTATCCTGGTTCGTTGAACTCAACTACTCCAGTCCACCCTATCAAGAGTGATTTGCCTTTCTCAACAAGGACTTAATCCACTATTAATCAAACTGATTAAAATAGCAAGCACTAAGAACATCTGTTCTTAGTCTTCTTAAGAACAATTGATCACAACTGGATCTTCTTAAGGACTTTTACAATCAAATGTAAAACTAAAACAAGTGTTTAAATGCTTCTAAGTAAGCTATCTCACAACTGTGATTTACACTTAAGTTTTAAGAACTATGAAATAAATTAAGCAATGAGTATAAATTGTATGAGAGCTTTTCTTTGAATTCTTTCAATATTTCGTCAACTGAAGAAGAGTGTTGGAGTCTTGCTTTTATAGGCACAGAAGTCCAAGTTGTTTTCACGTTGAAGGTTGTGTACTGAAAAGGGTTGTAGCCTTTTTGTCTTCACATCACTTGACCTTTCCTAGAATTAGAATGCACAGAGAAATCCTTTTTGTCTGTGTTCTTGTGTCTAGCATAAATGAGAAAAGAGTCGTTTGGCCAAACCAACGGAAATAACTTTGAATTCTTCTTCAACAAGTTTCTAATACTTCAGCAGATAACATCAGAGCCTTGAATGATTAGAGTCTTTGATGTTCATCAGAGTTTGCTGAATCAGAGCATTGCAGCAAGTGTGCTTTCAGCGTGTAATAATTCAGAGCAGAGTTTGGGATCAGATCCTCAATACTGGCAGTGTAGTACAATCAGAGTCTTCTGAATAACTGTGCTTGAAACTCTTCATACAAAGTCTTTAATGCTTCAGATGCTTCTGTAGCTTCTGCCTCAGATCCTTCTGTAGCTTCTGCTTCAGATCCTTCTGTAGGCAGCGCTCAGAATCTTCTGTAGGCAGCATTCAGATTCTTCTAATAGATGCTTCTGACGCCTCAGAGCCTTGCATATTTCCATGTTCAGATTTAATTTGCTTTCAGAATGATATTCACTTTAATATCTGCAGCAAACATACTTAAACAAATTTTAGAGTATATAATTTCTTAATACAAAATTTCATAAGAGTTATCATCAAAACATAGAGATATAATTAAGAACCAATCTGTGTTCTAACAAAACATTGTCCGCCTAAAAAAAATGAGAGCAAGTCGAACGGACCACAAAGACTGCATCTTTGAAGCTTAAATTGTAAAATTTTATGTTAATGTTCTACCACAAAAAACAAAGCGGAGCAAGGCGGTCATATTAAAGGTGCAAGCCTAAAAACATGGTCTGCCTTGTGAAAAAATATGGGCAAAACAGATATGCCAGACTGACCAGACGTGTTTTGAAATTCATACAATTTTGCACATGACACAAATCCATCCGACTTAAGAGCGACTTCAACTAATTAGGGGAATCCATTAAATGATAAAATCATATGCCTCACATGCTTATGGGTTGAAGTTAATACTTATCTCAACTCAATGTCCCAAACAACCTTTAGAGTCCTCTCCACCAACTCAGTACTCGAGCAAGTTTCCGGGCAAAGTCCAGTCCACTCTCATCATAAAAGCAATGTTAACATCTCCATAATCCTAGACTTCCAAGATGCTTCTATTTACAAAGTACAAGGCAAGCAACCAACTTACCAACATTTTCACAAATGGTTTTAAGTCATAAAGTTGTTTGCATAGCATGTGTAAGGTTTGGATGACAGATTTAGTTAGCCTTGCTCTACCTACAAAAGATAGTTCTTTCCACTTATAAAATTTCCCAGACTTAATATCTGATTAATATGTTAAGATTAGAAGCAAACCAAAATAAAAATTTACTCGAATTAAACCGAACCATTTCAATTTACTTAGAACCGAACCGAACCAAAGTCATTAGTTTGGTATGCCATTTAAAAATTCTGAATCGTACCGAACTGTTAAAAGACAACTTTTCCAAACCAAACCATTTACTAAAGAACTGAACCATTAACCTATTTTTCAAAATTTTAAAATAATAAAAATTAAAACTTGTTTTTAGTATTTTTAATTTTCAATTTCGGTTCAATTCGGTTGTAGTTTTGGTTCGGTTCGATTTCAATTTGGTACGGTTTTAGAACTAGTTTGTATAATATGATTTGGTTTACTAACCAAACATTACAATTCGGTTATTTTAACTTCAGTTCAGTTTAATTCGACAACCAAACATTACGGTTCGGTTATTTTAACTTCATTTCAGTTTAATTCTACAGTTAAGTTAAGTTCATGGATTTTTCGAACAACACTAGTTGGTTATTTTAACTTCAGTTCAGGACATAGATTTTATGGATTTTTTGAACAACGTTAGTTATGATAAGTAATATATGTGATGTCCAATAATAGTTGCCCAAATGTCCAATAATAGTTGCCCAAGACATGAAGATCTTCTTCCACTCGACAATGCAAGAAAACACACTCGTAAGTACTCTCTTCAGTCTCCGATATAATAGACAAACAAAAAACTCTCTGTTTGAGACCAACAATAGTAAATACAACTTCATTTGCCACAGCTGCTAACAAGGGCAGTTAAATCTATCAGGGTAGCATATAACATATCAAGAGACAAGGGACCTAAGAATTTCCTATATTCAGATGCAATTTAATCTATCATTGGCCACTGCCACTAACAAGGGCAATTAAATCTATCAGGGTAGCATATAACAAATCAAGAGACAAAGGACCTAAGAATTTCCTATATTCAGAGGCACCATCAGTGAGGTTGGTATGAAGCTTTTGCACCTCTGCAAAACTATCGTCCATGACTAACCACCAAGATATACAGCCATCATTATCTTCTGGATCCACATTTGCGACAAGGCCGAGTGCTTCACCCTGCTCCAGTTCAAACGATAAGCATAAGAAGTCCCGATTTGCCTTTATCCCAACCATCAGAGCTTCGTAATATAGCCAATTAACAATCTGGCTGGCCACCTGTAAGATTTCAATTAAGGTAGTAAGCATGCATGAATACTTGTAAGATTTGTATGTTTCTGTAAATCAGCGACACAAATACAATCTTTCTCTTATGAATTACTTTTACCTGCTGCAAAATAATCACAGGAAGATCAGCTAAGTTGCAATTATATTGGTTTATTGAGTGGGTATCCTCAGATTTTCCCTTGAACAGGCCCGCCACATTAGGAGAACCTTCTGCTTTAACATTGATGCAATCATCAATTACCGTGACCTTAATCCAAAACTGACGCTTGATAGCATTTTTATCAAAATGATCTGATGTTTTGATTTGGCAACCGCGAAGAATAGATGAAGGAACCTCCATGAATAAGGTCCATGATGACTCCCGAGACTGCCATGTGGGATTGGAAATTAGTTGGAGATAAGGGACCTTGAAGACCTGCAGATGTCAAAAAAATTAATTAAACAAAATGTCCACATTACAAACAGCTGTAGTCTAGATCAAAAGAGCAATACCACATTTTCCAGCTCTGCAAGAATTTTACTTGAAATTATCCTATGAGACAAAGACATGAAAAAGTGACCAAGAAGAGTTGATCCATCTTTTGCCTGTGCACCAGATAAACGATTACCAGAGGAAATTTGTTTTTCGCTGTCTTTTCCAAATATATGCTCGTGATAAATCTGTTGAATGTAAATCTCATAGCATGAGGAATTAGAATGCTGCCCATTCTTCCTAAGGGTGTTTTGTTGGGCATCATGCATCAACACGTCAGACGACTCCAAAGTTGAAAATGCATCATTTGCATTATTGGTAAGTTCACCTTCAACTCTATGACGATCTTGACCAGAGGACACCAGTGACAAGTACACAGAGGTTCCTTGACCTAAACTTAATTGTAAATAATTTTCCCTTATTCCAGTCAGAGTGTAACCGGCAGATGTGTTAAATGCTTCTCGATTCACCAAATCAAACACCTGGAAGAAACAAGTAAAAAGCAACATATAAAACATGAGATGCACAATGCATGAAAACTGGACAAACTAGACACTGGAAATCTACCTGCTCGTTGAAAATTGCTTTATGTACATCACGAAGGAGAAAATGTGTTTTCTTCACACACTTCTCATCATTTGAAGATTCTATTCCTGATTCTTCCAAGCAATCCTCACCAGGTAAGTGGGATTTGTCTTCATTGGATTTCTTCTGCATGTCATCTGGCTGTGCACCGACAAAACCAAATTGGAGAGAATGACATAACTCGGGAGACACATTTATTGCCAGCATCCCAGCTGCATCATGATTGACACGAACAGTGGACATATGAGGTGACCGAAAAATAGCTCCTTGATCATACGAGTTATCAAAGAGATCGAAAGTGAATCCTTCATTCCCTGGAACTAAAGATGTCTGTCGTTGCCGTTTTACTTTCCAGTTTTGCTGCAATCTGTCCTTATCACAAAATGTGATAGGTAGTTATGTAAGTTAGTAAACAAGACATTCTGGAAAAGTAAGCTGATTATGGAACAAATACAGGGATTTGCAAAATTATTTCATACCCAAAGACAATGAAATGTAGTTTATGTAAGATCTAACCATGCTCTCAAATTTCTTGTCAGCATTGACCAAAATAGGTGTATTAAAATTCAAAGGTGAGAATGGAAAATCACCTGATAAGGGCACCATAAAACCTAGCTTCCCGAGCAACCTGCTGTTCAAAAGCTTTGGCAGATTGCTTGAAATATTTCCCAACTTGCTGGCACAGAGAAGAAAGTTTGTACAAAAACTTTATTGCATGTTAGATACCCCAGTAAAAGCTATGCAAATTTGCTTATGACTCGTGGACAAGTTATTAGAGACTCAAGTTGCTCCATGTTTTCAGTTGTATTTTTTAGTTAAAGCAAATAAGCTATAACTTCAGTAAAAAAAAAGGAATTTAACTTAATATTATTAACATAAATAAACTGGAAACAAACTACAGTGAATTATTAAATTTTTTAAAATTAAAATGAAGATAGAAGAGTATTTACACGGTAGCATTGAAGCTTGGAGGCTGCAGATACAGCAAGATCTGACAAAGTTTCATTTGGTAATGATTTTGGCCTGTTCATGCTAGCCACAGCTACTGCATCATTTGCTTCCACCTAAGCAGAATAATTTTAACAAAACATCACAACTATATTGTCAGTCTGCAGATATCATACAATATAATGAACTGTATCATAGGAAAAAAATCTTTAACAATATCTAAAGCATGGTTGCTGTTCAGAATGCCAAAAGCTTGGTAATTTGCAAATGGATTCATTAAGACCAAATGAAGCAGAGTTATCAATCCCGGGGAATAGTGGCGCTATCCCAGGAGAGCGGGTGTGGCGCGGAGGCTAGCCGCTATGTGAAAGCACATCGTGCCGCAGTTTGCAATCGCGGGCGCAACTGGCATGTTTGCGGGTCCCGGGAGCGCTTCCCAGCTCGGAATGGGTTAAAACCTGCTATCTGTTTTAACACAAAAAAACTCTATTTACCTTTTAACATGATCTATGATTTCTAAGTTTGTTTGAATTTTAATATAATAGTACTCTTAGTTTTAATTTTAAGATGTGATGTTTTGATTTTGATAAGCCTTGTGCTTTGATATTTGATTTTACGAATCTGTATGGTATTGTGTTATTTGTTTAGTTGTATATTAAATATATGTTTTATAGTTATTATTCATATAATTAGTCAAAAAAAAAAAAGTCAAATAGTGGTTATCCCGTTATCTCATTTTTGGGGTTGGGAGCTCCGCTCTGCTATCTGGAATTGATAACTCTAAAATGAAGTCATGCATTTCTTGATGAACTAGGGATTGCTACTTCCTAGAGCATTGATAGTTGATATCCATAGACATTTTCTCACGGCTTAATTTCATCCTTCAAAGGATGACACAAACATGATTTTTATAAGCCAGGCACTATTTATTTTTCATTTAGTGATGTGCATGTTCCAAATGGAGCCTTTACAGAACTTTTTCAGAAACCAAATAGCCTCGAGCAATTGTGGCAAACAGATATGTGGAGAGAAATTTAAACTAAAGATTCCTAATGTAAATGAAATCATGAAAAACAATGATTTGTTGCTCTGTGAGAAACAAGCAGTACTCACAGTGTTAATGATATCTATGATGACAGAAAGCTCCTGATGAGCCAACTGCAAATTCTCCACCATGCCTTGCCATTGCCATGGTGTTGAGGCCTCCTTTGAGCTCTTCTTCTGCTTCTTCTTCTCCTCATCCTTCTCAATGGCCCAGGCGAAGTCAATTCGCCTGATCAGAGAGGTTCTCTTTTCATCATAATCCACATCTCTGCAACAATACAGAGGGAGTTACAAAATGCAAGCGCAGACAGAAATTAGAGTTCAACATTCTTACAAAAGATAGCATAACTCCAAGAATTTCTCTCGCAAGTTGCACAGGGTCTTAACTCTTAATACTAGTCGAGAAACAAAAAGGAGGAGGAGAAGGGGAAGAAGCTTACAAAGGGAATCGTTCAATTCCATTTTCTTCAATGGAATCCAAGCGCTTGATTGGGAGCTTGTCAAGGGAAAGTTGCAATTCCATGCCCTCCTCCATCCTCAGAAAGTCGATTTGCCCGAACAATTCCTCAAAACCCTATGGCTGTCTGAGCTGCCAAGAAAATGCGGGCACGAGATTAGACTGCTTGAAGCCCAAGCCTAACTGCAGAATAAAATAAGAGTTAATCAATTTATAATCAAACAATAGGAAAATAAATAATTGCAGTGAATGGGGGAAACAAATTTCACAAAACCCTAAAATAAAATTTTAAACTTTATTACCTGAATAGCTGTTTGAGTAGAGAGTAGGAAGGCGGGTGGAGTGGTGGTAGTGGTGGAGAACAGAGGTGGAGAAGGAGAAGTATAGTTTCGGGGGTTAAAAGGCAAAAGATATAGGATATGATTGTTGATCCAAAATGTGTCTATTCTTAATGCACATTCTTCACTATTGTTCTGTGGGATCTCTATTGTTTCGGAGTCTGTTGTTGATGATGTTCTTCATATTGATTTTAGGGTTATCACTAAAATGTAATCTAATTGTCTTAATGTGTAGTAGGCAATTTCTTTTTCCACTAGTTCACATCTATCAAAACTTAATGTTCCTTTAAAAATGTTTCTTTGAAATCTTCTTTTTGCATGTTTTTTTAGTATAAACATTGTTTTAAGTTTGTATTTTTTGAATCTAAAGTCATTTTAATTCGACTAACATCATTATTATTGGATTCAAACATTAAGGGTTTGTTTGATTCAATTGAGGGAGAGGGGAGGGATTTTAACGAAGGGAAGGGGGGAGGGAAGGTAAAAGATTTTGTTTAATTGTTTGGTTCAAAAGAGAGGAGGGAGGGGAGAAATTTTAATTTAAAATGTGTTTGGTTCAGAAGGAGAGGGGAGAAGTTTTATTAATAATTTACAATTTTATCCTTATGATCTTATATAAGTTATATGATATTAAAATGTGAAAAATTCATGTGTATTTTTTTTGGTAATAAATTTTTTAACATTGAGTGATTAAAAAATTATTTATTTGTCACATAAAGTAAAAAAATTGAGTACAATTGATTCGACTTATAACTTTCCAACATAAATTAAACTATATGCCAATAACATCGTTTAAATTATGATGAATCATATAACAAAACAAATATATAAATAACTTATTATTAAATATTAATGGTTCAAAATATTTAATAAAATGAATAAACAAACATAAATAAAATGAATGGTTTACAATTTGATATAAAAGAAAATATGATAGAATACCTAACAAAATCAAAAGAAAAAAACGAATATAACTAAACATAATTTTTTTTATAAAAAAAAGACAATGATTATGATTTATATTAAGTATAGAAATTATAAAATAATTTGAAGGTGGAGAACAATTATAATAAGTTGATGGAAACAATCGAGAAAAACTGTAACACGAAAGAAAACAAATAATTTTGAAATACTGAAATTAAACTGAGAATATTTTAGTAAATATAATAATTTTTAAATATCAAAACTCATATTCCCTCCCCTCCCCTCCAAATCCCCCCAATTCGGAGGGAACCAAAAAGTGTGTTTTAGAGGGATTTTGCTCCCCTCCCCTCCTAAGATTTGAACCAAACATATTTAACTAAAAATTAGACATGAATATCATGAACAAGGTAATGCGTTAATTAAAAAACATTTAATCATATTACAAACATTGTTTTTAAAGTATGGAAAAAATATTAAAACATTCCAAAATACAAATAAAAACATAATCTATTGCATATGCTTAATCCTAACCTTCTGACTCTTCCTATGTCGCCGATAACCTAAGGCATTTCGTGCCTCGATAAGAATGGAATGTGATAGGGAAATCATATAATCGCCACCTCTCTCAAACAACTCATACTCTATGCCATCACGCGTAATCCGCGTAATATTCTGACAGATCGGCAATACATCAATCTCATGGTCATCCTTGACCTGCTCATTCTCCAGGATCTCCTCATTAGCAGGCGTAGGTGGACGCTCAGTAGCGTTTGGTGTCATGACAGAGTGCGACACAATATACAACCAAGTCATATAATTAAACATCCACGTAATGTCATTGACTTGTGACTGACATACTCCGATACTCCTCAGGTACTAGATGACTCTCATAATCAGCATGTATGTCATCAAGTTGTCTGCGAATTATGTTGTTAAGAGCAGCCACGAATGGGGATCTCGGAATGGTCTGCAAATATCCAAACGGACGCATGCATTGCCCCGACAAATACCTGCACATCAGATTCTCCCACATGCCAGCCATCCAAAGTAAAATGAAATAGGGGCAAAAGGAGTAATGTCTCACTGAGTGTTGTATGGTATCCAATTGACGTTATCATGTTGGGTCTGGTCAATATACACATGGAACTGCCACACAACATCATTCCCTTTGTGCAAGCAATATAGGTAAGCATGCGGCCAATTCTCAGTATACTCTAGGACACGATCAAAATCGTGTATGCGTGAAAGTGGGATAAGATCCATCCCTGAAAACGAATAAGAAAAAAAGTATTAGTAACAAGTGTAAAAAAAGTGGTTTTAATATTAATAGTGGCTATGGAAATTACCATCAGCATGGTGCAGGAGACTATCATTTGCTTTGTCGATTAAAAAGAACATTCGCTCAGCTTAGAGTACAAGTATACCAAACAGGTGGCCCCCTTAGTTCCACTCGTGAATTACCGACAAGTCGATGAAATTCATAAGGTATGTCACATCGACGCAAGTTTCACTTTTGTCTAGAAAAATGGACGTGTCAACCAAGAATAGGAAGTAACACCTCAAAGCACGCTTCTAGTGTTAGGTAACGTGAAGATCATTGTCGTTAACACTCTTAGCCAACTCCAAGTTATTTTGAAATAGCGTCTCCAAGTAATAAAAATTGGCATGTGCACCTCTGGTGCTCTCACACTACATCAGGGTATCCATTGGGTCAGCTCCCAAATAAATGTCCATCATCTCATAGGCTTCATCATGTTTGATCTTGGAATGATCAAGTAAGTTCCCCATGATGAGAAGGTGTAGAAGGCAAGTGACATATTCTAGTGTAATCACCATCACGCCAATGAGGGAGTAGAAAGATGATGTTTCCTTATGCAATCTCTCAACAAAATCCCCTTGCATGCCATGGTTAATGGTCTTGTACTCGAAAGAACACAAGCCTGCAAAACCAGAGTACTAGAGGACACTCTAGAACCAATGATCCTTAGGCTGATAAAGCTTTAGAATATTTTTATTGTGGTTAACAAACTTCAAACAATCGTGCTTCTGTTAAAAAATAAAATATTAGTCGCGGACTAGATATGCCTAACAACATGATCTCTATAGTATATCAGTAAGGAGGTGTCAGAGGGTCATCCTAGAAAAGAGTCTGCAAGTAGAGGAACACCATCTTGTGCAGAAATATGAGCTTTCTCTCGGTCTACGTGATAAAGGAAAATGTGCCCCTGTGATGAAGACCCCTATGACAGGTGGCATACCTTAATTTTTACCCCTAAGATCTCACCTCATTTGCATCTTCACAATGTATCAATATCACAAACTCGGTTCTCCTCTAGCCCTCTCATCCTTGGGTTTGTCTTTGTACAGATCACCAAGCACCTTTCTTTGTATCTTTTTCCTTTGTGTTTATATGTTTTATATCTTCCTAACTACTAATCAAAATACCAAAAAAATATGCTTTGTCCCTTTTGTTTCTTTGCAAGGTAGGGTTTTGTATCAAAAGCATCAGACATGGCTCCTCAACTAGGGTTTTGGTCCCTCAAGTTGAAGTGTGGTTAACCATTGATTCCCAAGGGCTATTTAATCAAGTCATGGCCTCTAATATCAAAATATTTGATCTCAAGCATCATTATTTTTCATTTTTGATCAAGGATATCTCAAAGTTTTGTTGCTTGTTTCTCACGAAAAGTCAAAGGTTCATGTGTTTATTTCTATGTCTTCATCAACAAATTACCTCAAGCTTTGGTCAATTTAATCAAAAGACATTTAATGGAACATTATTTTGAGTTCATATGATCATCCATGTACCTTGAAATGCAAGAGAAGTCCAAGATCACAAGTTGGTTCAATGTGGTTTGACTTAAAAAGTCAACATTGTAAGTCAAAGTTCAAAAGATCATAACTCTTTCAATTCTCAATATTTTTGAATGCTTCTTTTTGCACATGACTCTTCTTAACATTCGCTTCAACTTCTGTTTACATGAAAAGAGCCAATTTTGTTTGGAGGGTTATCAAAGTTTTGAATAGATTATAGGTCATTTGTGAACTTAGTGAAATTTTGACCTATTTTCAAGTGACTTTTTCTCAACTTTCAAGAATCATAACTTCTTCAACTTTCAACATTTGAGGCTAACTATTTTTTCACAACATTATGTGTGATACCCTCTGCAAGTTTGCTTCAAGGGTTAAGAGTTGATTATGCTTAGAAGGCCATGGAATTCATTGATACATTACAGGTCATTTTCAGGCATTTTGGACTTAGAATTTTCGTGACCCCATTGCCAGATTTTTGTACCAACTTCAACATGCCATAACTTTTTCCACAAATATCCAAATGCAACCTTTCTTAGCATATTGGGATCTTTGTTATGATGTTAACAAGTTGCAAAAATAGTGGAATCAAAAAGTCTCGTGTACAAGATGCCCCCATTGAGTTAAACATGGTTACTTGAAGCTAAAGATATCACGATGATCAGAATTTTAGAATTCACTAATTCTCAATTACAAACCAAATTAACAAATGCTTTCCATCTAAAAATGTTTAATCAAGTCTCCAAAAGTTAAATGATTCATAACAAGCAAGTTTAAGTGGAGTTTTGATGCACATGAAGTCACACTTTTTTCACCCATGATGCAAACTTGATTTCACATGAATTTTGATCAAAACTTCACATGTGTAAGCTCATTCACTCCTCATATAAATAGAAGATCCCACTCCATTCATTTTCAAGCTTTTGATAGCCACAAAAGCTATGTTCAAGCTTCAAATTTGTTTCTCAAAGTGTTGATATCATGAAACATTTCCAAGCCATTTTA